GAAGCGAGGGTGAGAATGAACACCGTGACAAACAGGTCAGTAAATAATGATATTTTTGTCGTTATTCGAAATCAAGGGGAGATGAATGTACAAAGCCAAAGTCTGATTTGAGGTGGTTGGGACTACATATGGAGGTTGAAACTGGGGTCCAGAGATGAAGCAGCAAAAGAATCGCGCGTTGGAGTAATGGTAAATTTGATCGACTGTGAAGTCGGGTGTCACTCCTCTGTAATCTTTTTAATGGATTGGTGTTTAACCCCACCCATCCATCCCACGGGAAATAGGGGATATTTGTGTAGCTGTCACGCAGGGTGTCAGTGTGTCCATCTGTCTGTCCACCTTGTAAGATCACGGAAAAGGAAGGGAAATCCCAAACGTTTAGATGTCAATACCTCCCCGAGATACTCCCTCAACTTCAACTTACTNACAACATTGACCTTCATAGCACATTAGGATAACGAATACTTTAAGCTTGTTCATGATGTGTACCATAAAACATGCATGCAGAATTTGAACCGTACAGAGGTTTATATAAATACGTGCGAGACTGATCAAATACAGAAGGCTGGGAAAATGGTATCTAAAATTAAAAAAAAAAAAAAAGATAAATCTTTACATTTGCAATATAACTGGAAGTCGAATACATGTTTTACATGGAAGATGCCACAGGGACCTGAGAATTTGATACAACTATATTTGGACCTAAACTAAGGTGTTCCGAATAATTCTACATGTTTTAGGGGTTTACAAATGTACATAGATGTCGAAATGTCGACCCCACCTAACTTTCTGGCATCAAAAACAACATTTCTAGTTGATCTACGGGAAAAAACTGAATACTGTTGGAAAGATGGATAATTTTCACGTAAAATGAATTCTCCTTCCGCGGACATGATCTCCGTTTCCTCCAAAAACACAAGCAATTTCAGAGTTTCAAAGTTCTTCGCAGTCAGCCTGCCACTTTTTTTTTAATATTAATGAGGTTGACGTCAGCCACGTGCCGAGACACGTGGTGTGATTGGCTGGAAGTGCAGGCATTTTTTCGCTAAACCAACAAACACTTTATGGTTCAGCAAAAAAATGTGACAGGCTGACTGCAAAAGAAACTTTGAAACTCTGAAATTGGGTGTGTTTTTGAAGGAAAAGGAGATCATGTCCGCGGAAGGAGAATACATTTTACGTGCATATAGGAGGTTTATAAAAGGAAAATTATCCATCTTTCCAACGGTTCTCAGCATTTTCCTGTAGATTNAATGGTTCAGCAAAAAAATGACAGGCTGACTGCAAAAGAAACTTTGAAACTCTGAAATTGGGTGTGTTTTTGAAGGAAAAGGAGATCATGTCCGCGGAAGGAGAATGCATTTTACGTGCATATAGGAGGTTAATAAAAGAAAAATTATCCATCTTTCCAACGGTTCTCAGCATTTTCCTGTAGATTAACTAGATTTTTTGTTTTTGATGCAAGAAAGTTATTTCCGCCCTTCTCGTATATAATGTTCATTGGGGTGTCATTTTTACCGAAATTCGATCTAAACCCCTAAAACATGTAAAATTACTCTGAACACCTTGGTTTAGGTCCAAATTTATCTGTAACAAATTCTCAGGCCCATGTGGAAGATACGTCTCAAGAACCGGACACCGCTTATACCGACGTCGATACCGTATAAATAAATGAATTAGGAATTGCTGCTCTCAAACCTTGATACAAGTGATGGAGATACTACGCTTATTGTCAAACAAACCAAGACGGAAATTATCTTTAGGCTTGTAACTGCATGATATATCGCGATATTTTGAATACGGTACGATACACAATATCTTTTTGGAGGTCACGATACACAAACGATATTTTCTGGACTTTGTCATATCTTAATTTAATCTAATCATATCCGTCGTTCCCACATGGCGAGTGACAGCTCCAGCTCTGTA